GAGTAACCAGAGGGCCAGTCGCAAGGTTGAAGACCTGTCTCTTATACACATCTAGATGTGTATAAGAGACTGGCACTATATAGCGAAGTGGGGGTAAACTATCGAAACCGGGACGATAAAAACCATCTGACAAATATCAACAAACTCCTGTTTCCGGTAGTGGTGTGGTCAGAGTCAGAGACCGTCAGACCTTTACAAAGGCGCAGAGAACGTTGAAAGGTGATGAAATTGCGCAGCTCGCAGCAGACCAAAAAATGTTTTAGAGATGCAGGATATCCTCAGACATCAAGTCGGGTTGGTGTAGTTGGTTATCACGCCAGTCTCACACACTGGAGGTCTTGGGTTCGAATCCCAGATCCGACAATAATGAGCTTTCTTTTCCAAGCTGGGAAAAATAGCTCAAAGCAGTCTGAGTGGTCCTTCAGCAGCGAGAAGCTTGGCCCCCCTCTGCTGAAAGGCAGCTCCTGGAAACTGAAAAATAGCTGGGAACGGTCTTACCAACCCTTTAGCAGCGAAAGGCTTAGGCCCTCCTCTACCAGAAGGCAGCTCCTGGACATTTTTTTTAAGGATTAATGAAAAAAATGGTGTGATTTCTCTGCCCCTAATTCAGGACAATCAATGCCGGGGCATACTCTCACAAGAACTTTCCTGGATGTATCTGAACGGTTTTGCAACCCAGTGTGGATGCACCTGACCGCGATTACGTCCCCAGATAAGTTAAAGAATTCTTTGTGCGAGCGTGCCCCTACTCAGTCATCTGAGATTTCACTTTTGTCTCTCGCACTCATAGGGCGTCACCCCACCACTCTCGAAATGTGCAAAATGAGACTGAACTTCCTGCTAGAACATGGCCAGATGCACCCACCATACTTTTGTCTTTTCCACATTTCGAGAGTGGTGTGGCGAGGCCCATGAAGGAGGTGGTCCACCACGCATAGCTGAGCTGGGAAAGGATCATTGAACATGGGCCGCGTGTAACTAGCACGAATGATCTACTTTCCGCTCCTCTCCAATTACCCGATTCGGAGTGCCCTCCTCTGCTTTTGTGGCCATCACATCAACTGAACTTTGCACACCTACAAGGAAGTGAACGATGGCTATCTGGTTCCTCCACAAAGACGCTACCTGAGTCCCTTCCCATTGAGTCGGGTTGGTGTAGTTGGTTATCACGCCAGTCTCACACACTGGAGGTCTTGGGTTCGAATCCCAGATCCGACAATCTAACAAACTCCAAAATGTGGTTAGGTTTAGTTGGTTGTTATGCCGGTGGGCTTGAAAAAATCCCGTGGGTCTTTTCTTCTCCACACTCAAACGTGGGCTGAAAATAGATAAACTAAAGTATGGCAAGAAAAAAAAAAAGAAAAAAAAAAAAAAGGAAATGCTCCAATCATTCAACGTTTTCGCCATGAGTAAAAAATATAGCAAAAATGGTTCAATGTTTTTACCGCAGGAGTAAACTTTTTATTTTATTTTATTTTATTTTTATTTCTTTAAACAAGGGGCAGCCGGTGTCATATGATCCAGGCACGCCGGCCAGGTTCATACGACGGCTGCTTTTGAATTGTACGAGCCGCCGGAAAACGGGGCAGGCATCCCTTACATCGTAAAAAAGGTTGCAGGATAGACTATTACCATCCACCACCAAACCACCTTCTTCTCCCAACAGCTCCACATCTCACTCAGAAAATTGCATCACGCACTACGCAGCCAGAGTGGCCCGGGACCACTTGCCCAGGGGCTCGGACCGACTAGCATGGTTTAAAACGGTGTGTGGCGTTCTGTTCTCATTTAAAGACACATAAACAACGCTATTTTTCATTTACACGAATGCAAAGAAAAGGACCCCCCGCCCCAAAAAAATTTGGGGCCTGACATCGACATCATGACAGTACAGGCTGTGCATCCACACTTCGCGGTACATCTGCATGCGACCTGCCCGCCGGCCTGTTTGTAGTATACCACAGAAATCTCAATATTCTCTATTTCTGCACATAAAAAAATCACGGCGCGAAGCTTCAAAAACAACCCCCCCCAAAAAAAGACCATAGAATTGAAAGTGGCCAACAATGGCAACAAATAAATTTAAAAATTTTCTACTGGCCAATGGGCAGCTACCTTCACGAAAACGAAGACAATCGACACTAGCAGTCGATACGGACATCGATCAACAATCGACGTTTGTCACGGATGGCCGCACGTGATCGAAAACCACAGAGCACAGGAGTAAATCGGACCTAGTCGGTCCGAGCCCCAGCCGGGGCAACAAAAAAAAAAAAAAATAATAATAATAATAACTTTTCTAACTTTACTTTTTATTTTTTATTTGGTAAAGACCCTGAGGCAAAAGTTGTTCAATTTTTTGTTTTTTTATAACATAGTGTTTTTTCAGATTTGTTCGAGGTTTTGTTTTTTTTGGGGTGCTGGGATCTACTTTGGCCGTTGCACGGCCGGGCCGCCCGGCCAAACGAGGTCACCCCGGCGGTCCGGCTGGTAGCCTACGTCACACAACAAAAAAACCTAAAAACCTAAAAACGACAATCTACCCTAAGAACGCTATCCGACTTAGAAGCTAAAGAGGGATAAAAATTAGACCAAACAAAAGAAAAACAACGAAACATGGCAAAACAATTCCAAATCAACCCGTCTTACATCTGTTGCCTATACCTCAAATCCCAAACTCACGAAGTAGCAGGGGAAAAACATCGTTTACCTAAATTCCTAAACTAACGAAGTGTCAGGAGAAGATATCAACCCAACCCCGCCACATCCCACCCAAAAAAAGAGAAAACCTAATCTAACAGGCTAACAGCTCAAGACCCAACCCACCCACAAAACGTTTTACCTAACCACACCGATCCTAAGCGAATCCCACACGAATCCCACCGAAAACCAGTCAACACAGAACTACAGAAATTCCACAAAGAAAGGAAAACCTAATCTAACGACACAAAATTCATCACACCCAAGAAAAGGATAAACGGTCATAAACCAAACCACAACAACAGTACGCAAGCCCCACCGAGACCACATGGGCTGCCGGGAACCCTGCCTGGGGGGCATGCCCGTCCGGCCACGCGGGGGTGTATCCGGGCACAAGCTGGGTGCCCGGGCGCCCGGAGAAACAGCCTAGTTTTTTTTTGTGTGTGTGTGATAAAACAGGTCCTTGTGGTCCTGGCTCCATATCCATTCTCCGGAGCATCAGTCCAGTTCGGAGTCCACCGGCAAGTCGGGAATTGGAATACATGGTGAACACTCTCACGCTTCCTTTGTGATGCAGATGCTTCCCTCCTGGCCCGTCGCTGAAACTGAGATCTCTTTCATTTTCAGGAAATGAACGTAAGACACTGACCACCGTGGGATCACAAGTCACTGCATGGCAGATTTGGGTCCCTCTCCTACAACAGAGACCTTTGTTCTATCCTGGCCCATCGCTAATGGGACAATTGCTAATAGGACCTTGCCGCTAATGGCAGTAGCTCGACGTGCAGGCTTTCTTGAATGCCGTCACAGATAACTGACCGACGTTATTCTTTTAGAACCTTGGATCATTTTGGGGCAGCTGTTACTTTTTCAGTTTCCACCGGGAAAAGAAAAGATCAGATTTGTCGGATCTGGGATTCGAACCCAAGACCTCCAGTGTGTGAGACTGGCGTGATAACCAACTACACCAACCCGACTNTGTGTTATGCTGCAATACAATGTCGGATCTGGGATTCGAACCCAAGACCTCCAGTGTGTGAGACTGGCGTGATAACCAACTACACCAACCCGACTTCATGGTTCACGGGAAGATAATGTCGGATCTGGGATTCGAACCCAAGACCTCCAGTGTGTGAGACTGGCGTGATAACCAACTACACCAACCCGACTTGATGACTGTTTATATGCCGCATTTTTACAATGGAGTTGGTGAAGCAGCTGGCCTTCTTCCTCAGTTGGTACACCGATGAACTGTTGAAATGCGGAGCTGAGTTCGGATCCAGATGGTGTCAGTCTGTCAGATGACTAAACCCTAAACTCTGAATTTACTTGGGGCCAGTGATTTGAAAGCTGATATCTCAAGGGTGGTGCCTTTTTTTCCTTTTTTTGAAGGAGAATGGTGAGTATCAAACAGTGATTTCTTACACTGTTTGCCATGTCGCCCCTGTGAATGAGGTGCGATTTTTCCAACATAGGTCGAATCATATCTATAATGCATTTAATAATAAATATGCCATTTATGCTTGCATTGGCGTTTATATCTATCCTTAACAGAAAAAAGTTGTAGCACGACATAATTGTTATGGGTCCTAATCTCCAGTGTCACTCAATGGGGTCAAACAGAAACCCCCCTTAATCCGCTGTACACCTCAAATGCCCACTTGTTCTCTTCCTTTCCCAGTACTTTTAGCAGGAACATATTTTCCTTTTGCCTACCATAACAGGCATTACTCACACACACACACACACACACACACACACACACACAC